TCTCGGCGGCCTCTTGGACCATCTTGAGTGCCTTTGTGGCCGTCTAGGAGCAAACTTGGGCTGTCTTCGAGCGCTCGTGACCCGTCCGGAAGCCATCTGAGTGCGCTCTTCAGCCACCTTACAGACAACCTGGGGCGCTTTGGGCGCCTCTTGGGCCAACTTGGGAGCCTATAGGGGTCTGGGGGCCCTTCTGAACCCTCTTGGAGCCCTCAAGGCCCCCCTGCCCCCCATGCGAACCAGTGGTCGCATGTATAATATATATATATATATATATATATATATAATATATATATATACATGTAGCCATACATATATATATATACAAATATGTGTGTGTACAAGTATATATACATATACATAATCATACATACACATATACATACATACATATACATGTACATATACGTATACATATACATACGCAAATACATATACATATACATGTACATATACACATACATGTACATATACACATACATACACATATACATATACAAATCGATATATATATATATATGTATATATGCATATACACATATACATACGCATACACATACACATTCATATACATGTACATATGCATATACATATATATGTATATACACGCATATACAGAAACATATACACACATACATATATATAAACATATACATAGACACATGCATGCACACACATATATACATATACATATATGCATGTACATGTACATATACAAATACATATACAGATGCACATACCTACACATGTACATATACATATACATATACATATACACATAGCTACAGCTATGCATACACATATGCATATACGAATACACATACACATACACACATACATAGATGTAGAGGGATAGTCAGAGAGAGAGAGAGGAGAAGAAGAATGAGAGAGAGAGAGAGACAGCTGCGTATAGAAAAAGGACGTGGGAGGAGGCGGCCATGGAGGTGCAGGGCGCAGGAAGGCGCGGAACGAGGCCAAGGAGGAGCACGCTCCTGCTGCGCACGAGGCAGCAGAGGCTGGGCGCATCGGGAGCAGCCCCCCTCTCCCCTGGCTGCGAGCCAGAGCCAGACGAGGCCAAGACAACTGGTATATGAAGGGGCCCAGGGACACACAAACAAATACACAACAATCCCAGGATTCCCCATGTTTCTCCACATCTTCTGGGTGTTCGTCTTCACCCCACTTCGCATACTTTCCCGTATTTTCCTGGGAGTCGACGATTCATTGTCTGCGTGTTCCTTTCCCTCCTGAGTATAGTTGTACTGACCCCAGCGCTGCCGACGTTGTCAACGTCCATGGAGCCCGCGCGGAAGAACGGGAAAACCTGAAAATCTTGAAAACTATCAATATCAATACTTCATGCTCCTCTGAGTTGAGCCCCAACTTCGCGTCCCGCGCCTCGCTGAGCAGCCTCGGCCCGCTGGGTCATCTGGCACTGCTCGACCCTGACTCGCACCTGCTGGCACCGGCGGCGCTGCAGCCGATGACGTCGAGCTCCAGCTCTTGTCCCGCATCTCGCTGAGCAGCGACAGGGCCATCTGACACTGACGGCCATCCTTAGAAGAGGAAAAAACAAATAAACATAAACTTTTGGCGCTCCGCGCGGATTCCTTGGATCCGCGCCGGACCCCCCTCCCTAGTGCGTGGAGCGCGCCAGGGGCGGCGCAGGAGACGCCGCAGGGGGGGCCCAGCGCGGATCCAAAAAAATCCACGCGGAGCGCCAAAAGTTTATGTTTATGTGTTTTTGTTCTTCTTCGAACCCTCGCAAGCGCTGACCCTGGCTGTGTAATCGACTGCACCATTGTGTAGAAGAGGCCCTGGGACCGTCATGCGCTGCATCGTAGGATGTACTCCGCCTCGCCCGTCTCGCGCGCACCTGTGTCTGGCTCCGTGTCGGGGAGCTCCGACGAAGTCCTAAAGATCCTTGATGCTGCGATCGTCGCAGAGATCGCATCTCTCAAAAGAGCTCCCAGCTCGGGCCAGGTATGAACCAGAGCCCTGGGTCAAGACGATTGGCTTTCTCGCACAAGCTCACCGCAGCGTTACAGCTGCTGACGTGAGGCTCCATCCTCGCCTCCCACATCTCGCTCAGCAGCGCCAGCGCCCTCTGCCACTGCTCGCCCTTCTCGCACGCGTTGATCCCAGCGCTGCAGCTGATGACGTCGGGCTCCAGCTTCGCCTCCACCATCTCGCTCAGCAGCGCCAGCGCCTGCTGCCACTGCTCGCCCTTCTCGCACGTGCTGATCCCAGCGTTGTAGCTGGTAGGGCTGACCCGTGGACGATCGTCAACGAATGCTAGTGGTCAGAGTGCGCTTGCTGCTGCTCATTGCTTCAGGGTGCGCTGCTTGCTGGATGATTATGACGACGTTCAGAGCAGCGCTAGCGGTATCAGAGGCAGCAGACCCAGGGGCATGGGCAGTAGCAACAGCAGCTCCACCACCACCACCACCGCCACCACAATCACCACCACCACCTCCTCCTCCTTCTCCTCCTCCTCCTCCGCCTCCTCCTCCTCCTCCTCGTCCTCCTCCTCTGACAACTCCTACTCCTCCTCCTCTCCTCCTCCTCCTCCTCCTCCTCCTCATCCTCCTCCTCCTCCTCCTCCTCCTTCTCCAATCCTACGCCTATCCCCACCCTACCCCTACGCCTCCTCCTCCTCCTCCTCCTCCTCCTCCTCTCCTCCTCCTCCTCCTCCTCCTCCTCCTCCTCCTCCTCCTCCTCTCTTCCGTCTTGTGTTTGGCTCGTTCTCGTCCTCTGCCTCCTCCTCCTCCTCCTCCTCCTCCTCCTCCTCCTCCTCCTCCTCCTCCTCCTCCTCGTCCTCCTCCTCGTCCTCATCCTTCTCCTCATTATCCTCCTTCTCGTCGTCGAGCTTGGCCCGTCCTCTTATTCCGCATCCTCCTTCTGCTCCTCCTCGTCCTCATTCTCCTCCTCCACCCCCTCGTCCTCGTCGTCCTCCTCCTCCCCCTCCTAGAAATCATGCAGGTACGACTGCGCTGGCAAGCGCGCCTGCGGTGGAGGAGAGCGACGACGGGGAGGAAAAGGAAAAGGCCCAAAATGATTGCGAAAAATCACGCCCCACACCTTTTGGGACAATCTCGGCAAAGGAGGGGTAGCAGAAACAGCGTTCCTTGGTGTCCGCAGCTGGATTGGACAGCTATTTTCTGAAACCCCTCCGGCGCAGGAGGTGTCCCAAGAGGTGTGGGGCGTGGCTTTCTCGAATCATCCGGTGCTTTCTCGGAGCCTATCGGAGGCGTTCGGAGGGAGCTGCTGGAGGCATTCCGGGAGCCTGTGACTGCTGGGTAATGTCCCGGAGGCCGTCTGGGAGCCTCCAGCTCCAGAGGGCTTTCTGGGGGCTTGCTGGCCGTGGGGGGGCGGGATGGGGGGGGGAGCGCTTCAGGTCGGGGGCGGCCAAGAAGGGGGTTTCCAAGAGAGGGGAACGCAAATCATGACCAGCGGCATGTGCGCGCGCGGCCCAGGGGGGGGCCAGGGACGTAACGAAGTAAGAAGAGGCGCCATGAAATCTAGGGAAATATCATGGCCCACGCCATGATATTCACCCCCCCTAGTCATCACCCCCCTCTTGGCCGCCCCCCATCAGAGTTGGTCCTGTTGGGCCTCCCTTGGGACCCGGCTAAGGGGCTGTCCGGCCGTCTTGGGAGTCCCCGCGGCTGTCTTGAGGGTATCTAAGGCCGTCGTTGGGACTCTCTTGGGAGGTCCATGGGCGCACTGCGGACGATTTTGGGGCCCTAAACGATCTTCAGGACCGTGTTAGGCCCTGGGAGGTCTCCTCAAAGCTTTTGTTAAATCTATTGGCCGGTGGCGAGCGAGGGGGGGAAGTGAGAAGGGGCTGGCCTTCTCAGAAGGCTCGGAATTCCCCCGGCCTTCTGCGACAGAGCCCTCTGCCAATGCTCGCCTTCCTGGCACGCGCTGACCGCAGCGCTGCAGCTGCCTAGGGCTGACCCGTAGACTCCGTCCACGACATCATTCTGAAGGAGGCCTTGGTTGGGCGGCGGGGGTGCTCCCGAAGAGCTATCGACATCGCCATGTGGAGTTGTGGATACCACGACAATGGACTCTGACAGTCCTATCATTGAATTTGAAATGTGTTTAAAATGTCGGAAAAATGCTCTACACATGTTTTCAACATGTTTTTATATGATTAAAACATGTTTAACACATGCTTTAGACATCTAGAAATTATTTGGCAACATGCTTCCTCTCCATTGATCGTCCTCCACAAATGTGGAGAGGCTTCACCTCCTCCTTCTAGGATCACCCGCGCATTTGTCGGGACACAGAGCCCCCCTTCTGCGGTCGACTGCTTCAAAAGGGTTTCCAGAAGCCTCCAAGGGAGCCTGAGAGTGTGGAGAGCGGCCCCAGACGGCCCCAAGAGAGCCCCCAAAGCGACCCAGAGGCACCGAGGACGCCGCCGGGCGCGGGCCCACCATTCTGCCACGGAAGGCCCCTATGTGGCAGAATGCCTCCGGCACGCCCGGGGTGAGCGTGGGGGGCCGTGGACGGCCTCACATGGCGTCAAGATCGGCCATGAGCCCGCCAAGACTTGCGAGGGCGTGGCCTGAGGCCCAGGCCGTGTGGGGTCCCTCTCGAGCCGCCTTGGGGCCCTGTTGGGCTGCCTGCGGGCCCTCTTGGGAGCCTGTTGGGCTGGCTTTGCGGCGATGTTGGGGGCCTCGCGGGCCATCAAGTGGCATCGAGAGCCCGAAAAAGCGAGAACGTCGAAATTCTTGAAGAACCTACGAGAAATCAATAATTTAGGCTTCTCTGGGCCATCTTGGGGGGCTAGGGGACCTTCTTGGCCTGGGAGCCTCCTGGGGCGTGGAGCCGTCGTGGGCGCCTTTTCGGCCCTTTCGGCTCCGCTGGGCCGCGCAAGGGGCGTGGCCAACAGCCCCGCGCTGCCCCGGGGGGGGGGTTGCCGGCCTCACGCAAAGATTCCAGCACAGTGGAGAAGATAACGTGGGGCTCCAGCTTCGCCTCCCGCATCTCGCTCAGCAGCGCCAGCGCCCACTGCCACTGCTCGCCCTTCTCACACGCGCAGATCCCAGCAGTGTAGCTGACTAGGGCAGACCTGTGGACTCCGTCCACGACATCAGCTCGACGTGGCGAGGGATCTCTGGGCAAGCGCGGGGGGGTGCGGCTGCAGGGCCGAAAGGCAATCATGATGGCGTCGGGCTCCAGCTTGGCTTTCCACATCTCGCAGTGCAGCGCCAGGCCCCTCCTCCTCCTCCTCCTCCTTCTCCTCTCCTCTTCCACCTTCTCCTCCTCTTTCGCTCGATTCTCCATGCCCTCGGTCGGCAATCGTCGATCCTACGACGACTCTCCCCAACAGAGAAACATCGAAGGCCCTCGGAGCGTCCAACATTGTTCTTTTGTGCCTTCGATATGCCGGTCGCCTCTCGTCCGCTCCCCCCCTCCTGGAAGCAATTCTGAGGCCACTTCGGGCTTCGTGGGGGCCGTTTGGGGATCTCTTGGGGCGTTTTTGCCTGCGATATGCCTGTCGCCTCTCGTCCGCTCCCCCGCTCCTGGAGGGAATTCTGAAGCCACTGAAGGCTTCGTGGGGGCCGTTTCGGAGCCTCTTCGGCCTTCTTTTGGGCCTCCCGGGGGGGCTCTTAGGGCCCTCTCGGGCCGTCTTGGGTGCCTCTTGGGCCGTCTTGGGGCCGTCTGAGGCCCGCCTCGGCGCCTCTTGGGCTGTCTTGGGCCGTCTTGGGCCGCTCCTGGGGCCGTCTTGGGTGCCTCTTGGGCCGTCTTGGGCGCCTCCTGGGCCGTCCTGGGGCCGTCCTGGGGCGTCTTGGGACCGTCTTGGGGCCCTCCTGGCCCGTCTTGGGGCTCTCTTGGGGTCCTCTTCGGCCGTCTTGGAGCGGTCGGGGGGACTTCTTGGGCCGTCTTGGAGCGTCGGGAAGCCGAAGAGGCGAGGAGGCCGAAAACATCGAAAAACACAATAGAAATCGACGATTTCTGTCGCTCGGGGCCCTCTTGGGAGGCCTCTTGGGAAGCCTCTTCGGGCGTCTTGGACGCCTCTTGGGCCGTCTGGGGCGAATCTCGGGCGTCTCGGGCCCATCTTTAAGCGTGCCGGGGCTCTCCGGGGCCGTCTTGGGGGCTTCGGGGGGCCCTCTCGGCGTGTCCTGGAGCCTGCCTGGGCGGCCTGGGGCGGCCCGGGGCCAGCCCGGGGCGGTTTCGGTGCATTGGGGCCTGCGCCCTTCTGGCACGCACTGGGCCCTGCAATGTAGTAGAGACTAGGGTGGCCCCGTGGACGAAACTCATGGCAGGCAGATGGACATGCTGCCCAGGACTCCTGGGTGCAATGGACGGGGTTCAGAGGAAACGGGGCCCGAAGAGAGGGACTCGGGGCTGGCTTGTGCCTGTGCTGGGCCTCCTTGTGGCCGTGCTGGGCCCTCCTGGGCCGCGGTCTTGGGACGGTCTGGAAGCCATCTTGAACTTGTCTTGAAGCGGTTTGGGACCATCTGGGCCAAGCCAAGGCCAGGCAAGCAAGGAGGCTAGCAGCATTCGATCCGCAAGGACGTTCAGTGCTTTCGCCTCTCAGAGGCCTCTTTTGATCGTCGTCGGGTCCGTCGTCGGGCCTCCAGGGGAGCATATCGGGGTGTCGGGCCCGCCTCGGCGGGTGCTGGGACCACGACGAGGCAACCTGGGAGCATCTTTGCACGCGTCTTGGGGTCCCTTGGGCCTGCTGAGACCGTCTGGGGCACTGTGGCGACCTTCTTGGGGCAGCCCTGGCTGTATTGGACCGTGGGGGGTGGTCGAGGGGTGGTCAATAGGGCTGTCTTGCAGCTCTGCAGGGACCGTCGGAGCTTTCTTGGACCGTGCTGGGGCAGTCAGGGGCGATTTGCAGGCGATATTGGGATTCCATTGAGCTGTCTTGGGCGCACATGGGCCCGTCACGAGGAGGATGAGAGCAGGAGGACAAGGAGAAAAGGAGGAGGACCGATCATATACTTTGATGTTATCCGTAGGGGCCTTTACTGGCGTTATTGGGGCCTTCACCTTGGCCATGTTGGGGCCTCCTGGGAGTGCATGGTGTGGTCGTTTGGGGCCTTCTGGAACTTCCTGGAAACTTTGCGAAGACCGTCGACGAGAAGAGGCCGTGAGGGCCGAAGCAAGTAAAAGCTCCCTGGAGTTCATGTTTTTTCGGCTCCTGTGGGGATCTATTGTGGACCCCTTGGAGCTCCCAAGGGGGATCGTCGCGTCCTCTCCACATCCTCTCCTTGACTTATCGGGGCCGTCAACGGGCGCCCTGGGAGCTCGGTCGGACCAGCCCAGGAGTGGGTAGGCGGGAAGGGGTGCTGCTCCGCGGAATCGCGAAGTTCGCTGCCGACATTTCTCATGCTCAGACTGGGCCCGGCATAATTGCGCTGACTACGTCATTCCGCTTCCATTGCGCCGCACATCTCCCTTGCCAACGACTGCACCAACATCATGTGTCCACCTTGCTCGCACATGCTGACTACAATTCCATAAACGAAGACGTCGGGGTGCAATATCGTGAAGAGCATCTCTCTGAGCAGCGACAGAGCTCTCTGCCACCGATCGCCTTCCTGGCACGCGCTGATCGCAGCGCTGTAGCTGATGTCTAGCCGTCTTGGACGCTGTGGGGACGAAAAAAAAAACATAGCACAATGTGCGTTTCCAAAATGGAATGGGACGACTTGGGCCTCTTGGGACTCTCCCGGAGGCTCTCCTGGGCCGTCTTGGGAGCCTCCTGGCCTGCCTTCGGGGCCTCTGGGGCTGCCTTGGGGCTCCCAGGTGTGCTCTGAAGCCGTGTTGGCGCCCCCTGGAGCCTCTCGGAGCCGTCCCAAAGCCGTCTGAAGCCATTTTGGGGGCATCTGGACCCCCCCTGAGCCGTTTTGGGGCCGGAACCAACTTTCAAGACAAAGACCCTTCTCGCACGCACAGGTCGCTGCATTGTAGAAGAGATGACGTTGGGCTCCAGCTTCGCCCGCTGCATCTCGCTCAGCAGTGCCAGCGCGGGCTGCCACTGCCCGCCCTTCTCGCAAGCGCTGATCCCAGCGCTGTAGCTGACTAGGGCAGACCTGTGGACTCCGTCCACGACATCAGCTCGACGTGGCGAGGGGTCTCTGGGCAAGCGCGGGGGGGTGCGGCTGCAGGGCCGAAAGGCAATCATGATGGCGTCGGGCTCCAGCTTGGCTTTCCACTTAGGGCTTCGTGGGGGCCGTTTGGGGATCTCTTGGGGCGTTTTTGCCTGCGATATGCCTGTCGCCTCTCGTCCGCTCCCCCGCTCCTGGAGGGAATTCTGAAGCCACTGAAGGCCGTTTCGGAGCCTCTTCGGCCTTCTTTTGGGCCTCCCGGGGGGGCTCTTAGGGCCCTCTCGGGCCGTCTTGGGTGCCTCTTGGGCCGTCTTGGGGCCGTCTGAGGCCCGCCTCGGCGCCTCTTGGGCTGTCTTGGGCCGTCTTGGGCCGCTCCTGGGGCCGTCTTGGGTGCCTCTTGGGCCGTCTTGGGCGCCTCCTGGGCCGTCCTGGGGCCGTCCTGGGGCGTCTTGGGACCGTCTTGGGGCCCTCCTGGCCCGTCTTGGGGCTCTCTTGGGGTCCTCTTCGGCCGTCTTGGAGCGGTCGGGGGGACTTCTTGGGCCGTCTTGGAGCGTCGGGAAGCCGAAGAGGCGAGGAGGCCGAAAACATCGAAAAACACAATAGAAATCGACGCTTTCTGTCGCTCGGGGCCCTCTTGGGAGGCCTCTTGGGAGGCCTCTTCGGGCGTCTTGGACGCCTCTTGGGCCGTCTGGGGCGAATCTCGGGCGTCTTGGGCCCATCTTTAAGCGTGCCGGGGCTCTCCGGGGCCGTCTTGGGGGCTTCTGGGGGCCCTCTCGGCGTGTCCTGGAGCCTGCCTGGGCGGCCTGGGGCGGCCCGGGGCCAGCCCGGGGCGGTTTCGGTGCATTGGGGCCTGCGCCCTTCTGGCACGCACTGGGCCCTGCAATGTAGTAGAGACTAGTGTGTACCCGTGGAGCAAATCCGCGGGTACCCTGACACGGGAACGAGGCGGGGTCATCTCTGGGCCGTCTTGAAGGTTTCCCTGAGCTGTCTTGACGCTCTCTCGGGCCGTCTTGTAGCCTTGCAGGAGATTCTGCGAGCACCCGGAGGACCTGGAAAATTGCCCGAGAGGGGCTCGAGAGGGCCCGAAGACGGCCCCAAGAGGGCCCCCAGAAAGGACCCGTCGGATTCTACAACAGGAGGGTGCGTTGTAGCATCCGTTGGGGGGCCTCGTCGGGTTCTCTGAGAGCGATCTTGGGACCGTCTTCGGATGCTTGGGCTCTAGTGGGCCATCTCCGGGCCATCTTGGGTCGTCTTGGGCGCCTCCTGGGCCTCCTACATCTCGCTCAGCAGCGCCAGCGCCCACTGCCACTGCTCACCCCTCCCACACGCGCTGATCCCAGCATTGTAGCTGATGACTAGGGCTGACCCGTGGACTCCGTCCACGGTAAGCTGCTACGAAGTGGCAAGTGATTTGCGCTCGCCTCCCATATCGCACCGTAATGGCGGGCGGGCAGGAGCGCCCCCTCGCGTCCTGAAATAATCGAGGCGGAACATGACAGGCCTCCCACATGGGGTCCGAGTAGATAGGGCCGGGTGAACGCGCTACATCGGCGATGCAGCGGCGACGTCGGCGGTGCTTCGCCGACGTCTGCGTGAGAAACTCGGGCTCCGAATCGAGCCGCGTCGACGATGCGTCGGCGATGCGGCTCAATCCTCCGACCCCATCTACCCTGACCTCATCTGGGAGGCCCGAGAACATGTTTGGTAATGTTCAGCCCCTGGGCGGGACACCGTGAGCAAAGCAACTCGGGAGGAGAGAACGGTCCGCGGGAAGGGGTCCAGCGGCGTCTTGTGGGCGTTTGGGGGCCACGGGAGGTTTCTGTTCGGGCGTTTGGGGCGTCTCTGGGCCGTGTTTGGGCCTTCGGAGGCCGGCGTAGGCGCCTCTTGGGCCGTCGTGGGCCGTCTTGGGCCGTTCCTGGGGCCGTCTCGGGTGCCTCTTGGGCCGTCTTGGGCGCCTCCTGGGCCGTCGCGGGGCCGTCGCGGGGCCGTCGTGGGACCGTCTCGGGGCACTCCTGGAGTGTCTTGGGGCTCTCTTGGAGGCCTCGTGGGCCGTGTTGGAACGACCTCGCAGGGTCCTGGAGCCGTGTTGGGCCGTTTGAAGGGTTAGATGGCAAGAGCCTGGGAATCCTTCAAAAAGCATTGGGGGATCCATGTTTGGGCCGTCTCGCGCCTTGAAGGTCTTGGGGGGCTTCTCGCCTGTCGTCGGGCACGCTTGGGCCGCTCTGGGGCTCGCCGGGGTCCGCTCGGGCCATCGGGGCGCTCTCTCTCTCTGAGCCGTCTTGGGGCCGTCTTGGGGCCATCGAGCCTCCGCGGGGAGGCCCCCCGAGGGCTCTGGTGACTTTGGCCCGGTTGCCGTGTCGAAACCTGATGTGGCGGGCGCCGCGTTTTCCTTGGGAACTGTTTGGGGGGCTCTCGGGGTTTCTCGTCGGCCTCCTGGGGGCCGCTCGGAGCCCTCTTGGGCCGTCTGGCGGCCTCCTGGGGTCCTCTTGGGGCCCTCTTGGGCCGTCTTGGGTGCCTCTTGAAGCCGTCTGGGGCGGTCTTGGGCGCCTGTGGGACCGTCTTGGGACCGTTGGGAGGCCCTCTTGCGTGATCTTTGGCCGTTCTTGGGGCTGCCTTGACTGCTTCTTGGGCTGTACGTTTACGTTAGGTCTTACGTTTACCATCGGTTTGGGGACGATGTTTGCTTGCGCGGGCTCTTGGAGCGTTTTGGGGGCCTCATGGGTGCATCTTGGGGCCGTCCGGGGCCGTCCGGGGCCGTCTTGGGAGCCTGTGGGGCCGCCTTGGGACAGTCTGGAGGCCCTCTTGGGCCATATGTTGGCTTCTTTGGGGGATGTCTTGATTGCTTATCGGGCTGTAATGGGCGCCACGGGAGCTGTCCTGGGGCCGACGGGAGCCGTCTTGGGCGCCTCATAGGGGGCCTCCTGAAACGTTTTGGCCGATCTTGGGGGCCCGTATTGTCGTCGTGGACGCTTGGAAAAAATGAAAAGAAAAGGAGTTGCGAGTACTTACGTTTTCCCCAGGTTTTGTGACGATTTGGGTTTGCGCGGGCTATCTCGGGCGTCTTCTGGGAGCCTACTTGGAGCGTTTGAGGGGCCTCATGGGTGCATCTTGGAGCCGTCTGGGGCCGTTTTGGGCGCCCGTGGGGCCGTCTTGGGACAGTCTGGAGGCCCTCTTGGGCCACCTGTGGCCGCTCCCGGGGCTGCCTTGATTGCTTATCGGGCTGTAATGGGCGCCACAGGGGCGGTCCTGGGGCAGACGGGGGCCGTCTTGGGAGCCTCATGGGCGCCTCCTGTGACACATCTCAAGCCGATCTTTGGGGTTCGTATTGTCGTCGTGAACGCTTGGAAAACGAAAAGCGGAGGAGTTGCAAGAACTCACGTTTTCCTAAGGTTTTGGGACGGTTTTTGCGTGCGCGAGCTCTCTCGGGCGTCTTCTGGGAGCCGGTTGGAGCGTTTTGGGCGGCCTCCTGGGCCGTCTGGAAGCTATCTTGAGCGTCTTCGAGCGCTCGTGGACCGTGGCGCAGGCCCTCTTGGACCGTCGTCTCCTCCTCCTCCTCCTCCTCCTCCTCCTCCTCCTCCTCCTCCTCCTCCTCCTCCTCCTCCTTTTCCGCCTCCTCCTCCTCCTCCTCCTCCTCCTCCTCCTCCTCCTCCTCCTCCTCCTCCTCCTCCTCCTCCTCCTCCTCCTCCTCCTCCTCTTGCTCCTCCGCCGCCTCCTAGTACTCCTCCTCCATCAGCGGGTGTGGAGCGGGTTGGCGCCGTCCAGGGGCCGAGGCCTGGCCAGTGGACTACGTCCATGGCAAGCGGCGAGATCCTCTCGGGAGCCTCCCAGCGGCCACGGAAGCTGAGTCGCAGGGGAGGGTGAGGTTCGGTGTCGTGCTCGAGGTCCTTGCTGTAACCTGCTCGTCGTCGTTGTCGGCCTTACGGCTGGGAGACGAAGAACCTGGTTCAGGGGCTTGCGGGACATCCCACAGGAGATGCCGCGGACTGGTGACTGGTGCTGAGATAGAGAAGAACCCCGGTGGCACAGGTGTCTCCAAGGCGGCCGAGTATGCACGGACGACGATCTCATGTGTCTGGACGATGGCCCCAAAGGCCATCCCAAACAGGACTGTCTTCCCGGCCGTAAGAGGTCTTACGGCCGGGAAAAAACTCTTGGAGTACCCCCCAAAGCCTTCGAAGACGGGAATTTTTTTCCAGCCATAAGAACTCTTACGGCCGGAAAAAAACACTGGAAGACAAGAACGCCCTGGCCGTGCCCCCCTGTCGCAAGACCTTCGTCTCCCAGCCGTGAGGCCGACCACGTTGGGCGACCCTCGGGCTGCCTTAGGGGCCGTCTTGGGCTGTCTTGGTCCGCTCTTGGAGCCCTCTCGGGCTCCTCATGGACTGTCTTGGGGGCCTGTTCGGCCGTCCTGGGTCGTTCTGGAGCGGTCTTGCAGCCATGGAGGGGCCCTGTGCTCCTCTTGGGACAATGAATGGGCGAGGGGTCTATGGCAAGCGGGAAGAGCCGCGCCGGTACGGAAACGGAAAGACTGCTTCAGGAACTTGCCCGCGATGGCTCATGGCGCCCTTCGCTCTTGGGAGCCTTGGTGCAAGCGGCCGGTTACGTCACCGCTCGCTGTTGGAAGCTGTGGCTTTCAGAGTTTTTGAGGTTGCGGCTCGCTCTCGGGAGCCTCGGGTTGAAGAGCTTGTTGTGTTCGCTCTTGGGAGCCCGTGCGCCTTCTCAGTGGTCATTGTGGGGGACTTTTTGGAGCCCTTCAGGGTTGGGCCGTTCTGGGGCCGTTGGGGGACGTCTTGGGGCCCGTTGGGGCCGTCACGGGGAGTCTTGGAGGCCTTGGACCGTCCTGGGGCTCTCTGGAGGGCTTCCTGGAGCCCTCTCGGGAGCCTCGCCGGGCCGTCTTGGACCCTCTTGGAGCCGTCCTGGGGCCCTCTCAGGCCGCTTGAGGGCCCCATTGGGCCGTTTGTGGGCCTTCTTGGAGCGTCTTGGGACCCTGGGGGCCGCTTGGGTCGTCTTGGGGGGTTTGCGGGGGCCTCTTGGCCTGTCCTGAACCGTGTAACAACGCAAAACGCGGATATGCTGAAAATGAACGTCTTCCCATAGGAATGTGACCATCTTTGCCTCTTTGGCGTCCTGTCGGGGCCCTCTCGGAGCGTCTTTGGAGCCTCCTTGGAGCCACCTTCTGAGGTCTCCGAGGCGTCTTGGAGGCATTGGACCGTCTTGGGGCTCTCTGGAGGGCTTCCTGGGGCCCTCTCGGGAGCCTCGTCGGGCCCTCGTGGAGCCCTCTTGGAGCCGTCCTGGGGCCCTCTCAGGCCGCTTGAGGGCCCCCTTGGGCCGTTTGTGGGCCTTCTTCGCCGTCTTGGGGCCCTCTTGGGGGCCGCTGGGGTCGTCTTGGGGGGCTTGGGGGGCCCTCTTGGTCTGTCCTGGAGGCCCGCTCAGGCCGTTTGAGGGCCCCATTGGGCCGCTTGTGGGCCTTCTTGGGCCGTCTTGAAACCCTCTTGGGGGCCGCTTGGGTGGTCTAGGCGTCTTGGTCTGTCCTGGGCCGTGCAACAACGGAAAAGGCGGATATGCTAAAAATGTACGTTTTCCCATCGAAATGTTACTATTTTTGCCTCTGTGGCGTCTTCTCGGGGCCCTCTCGGAACGTATTTGGGACCTCTTGGACGGTCTTGCAGCCACCTTCGGAGGTCTTTGGAGCGTTAAGGCCCGTCTCGGCACCAACTGAGGCCGTCTTGGAGCGCTCGCGGACCGTCTTGCAGGCCATGCTGGGGGCCCTCCTGGGGGCACAGTGGGTCGTCATTCTGAGAGCAGCTGCCGGGAGGGGGGGGAAGGATTCGGGCATGTCCTCCTAACTACAAGCGGATTTTGGAAGAAAAGCGAAGAATAGTCGAAAAATCGTCCCCAGACTACTTCTGGACTGCTTTTGAAGATTCCTCATGTGGAGGGACGTGCCCAACTGAAGGGGGAGGGGGGGGCTTCCTGGGGCATCCGAGGGCATCCTCGAGGCCTCTCCGGGGGGGGGGGGGCCTCTCGAGCTGCCTCCGGGGGCGGGGGCCTCTGGGGGCACCTCGCCGCCTCCGACGTCGCAGCAGCCTGCTCGCGGCGCTGGCCCTCGGAGATGTCGGCGGAGACGTTGCCGGAAGGCCCTCGTGACGATGTCGGTCTCGGGCTTCGCGCCGCTGCTGCCTGCCTGCCTGCGGCCGCAGGGTGCCGCAGGCCTGCGGCGTGGCCTTGCTCCTGCTGCTGCTTGTGGGCTGCGGCGTGCTGCCGCTGCTCGCCGGAGGCCGCTGCTGTTCGCTGCTGGTGCTCCCTGAGGCTGCAGGACATATCGCTTCTTGGCGCGCCTGCTGGCTGGCGCAAGCTTCAGCTCGTGAGTGGACCGAGGAGCCAGCAGCAAGGAGAGAGGAGCCAGAGCCCAGGGGGGGGGAGGCGGGAGGAGCGAGGAGCAGCCCGCGAGGAGCGGGGAGCGAGCACGGAGGAGCGACGAGCGAGGAGAGGCGGGCGAGGAGGGACGAGGAGGAGCCGAGGAGGGAGGAGGCTGGAGGGGCAGACGCCCGAGGCGTCAGAGGGGGAAGCGGGGGGGTCCAGGAGAGGGGAACGAGGAGCGAGCGAGAAGAGAGGAGCCAGGAGCGAGGAGAGGCAGAGACGAGGAGCGAGCAGAGGGCGGCGAGGAGCGAGGAGCGAGGAGTGCGGAGCACGGGGCGAGGAGGGAAGCTTGGGAAGCGGGCGGCATGCGGGTGTCCCAGTGGCCTCGACGCGCGCGCGGCAGAGCACACTGCCTCCTCTTGGGTCGCTCGTGGGCCTCTCCCTGGGGTCCACTCGGAGCCGCTCTGGGGGCAGTCTTCGGGGCTCCCCGGGCCCCCTTCGGGGCGCTCCGCGCCTCCCCTTGGCCACCTGGGCGTCCCTTGGGGCCTCTGGGTGCTGCTGTGAAGGGGGTCCCCACGCTCTCGGGAGGCGTTGGGGCCGTCTCGGGGCGACGCTGGGCCGTCCTGGGGCCCCTCTGGAAGCCGGCTGGGCCTGCCTTGGGCCGTGCTGGGCTCGTCGTGGGGCCCTCCCGCGGGGCTCCTGCGGGGCTCTCCGGCCCTCTGGGGCCGTGCCGGGCCCGGCGTGGCGTGGAGCAGCGTGGAGCCGAAAAGTGGGGGAGCGCGGTAGAACTGCGCGAGGAGAGCCCACCAAGGAATGCCACCATCTTCGCCTGCGGGGGGCCCCTGGGCGGAGCCATCGTGGAGCCTCTCGGGGCCACCTCGGCATCATCCTGATGCGCGTGAGGGCCTCTGTGCGGCCGCGCCCAGCCCTCCGCGGGCTCCACAGGATCGCGCGCGCTGCCTGTGGCGTTCTGGGAGGGGCTGGCGTCGGGCTCCATGTCTGCCTCCCCCATCTCAAGGAGCAGCGAGAGAGCCCGCTGCCACTGCTCGCCCTTTACGCAAGCGCTGACTCCAGCGCTGCAGCTGATGACGTCGAGCTGCAACCTCGCCTCCCACATCTCGCCGAGCAGCCACAGAGCCTGCTGCCACTGCTCGCCTTTCTCGCACGCGTCGATCCCACTGCTGCAAGTGACGACGTCAAGCTCCAACGTCATGTCCCGCATCTCGCTAAGCAGCGACAAAGCAGTCTGCCACTGCTCGCCTTGCCCGCATGCGCTGATCCCAGCATTGTAGCTGATGACGTTAGGCTCCAACTTCACATTCCGCATCTCACTGAGCAACGACAGAGCCTGCTTCCATTGCTCCCATTGCTCGCTATTCGCACACGCGCTGATCCCAGCGTTGTAAGTGACGACGTCGGGGTCCAATTTCGCAAACCACATCCCGCCAAGCAGCGACAGAGCATGCTGCCACTGCTCGCCTTGCCCACACGCGCTGATCCCAGCGTTGCAGCAAATGACGTTAGGATCCACGCTCGCCTCCCTCATTTCCCCCAGCAGCGCCAAAGCTAGCTGCCACTGCCCCCCTCTGCACGCGCTGATTCCAGCATTGTAGCTCATGAAGTTGGGCTCCAACTTCACATCCCGCATCTCACTGAGCAACGACAGAGCCTGCTTCCATTGCCCGCAATTCGCACACGCGCTGATCCCAGCGTTGTAAGTGACGACGTCGGGATCCAATTTCGCGTACCACATCTCGCCGAGCAGCGACAGAGCATGCTGCCACTGCTGGCCTTGCCCGCACGCGCTGATCCCGGCGTTGCAGCAGATCACGTTAGGATACACGCTCGCCTCCCTCATTTCCCCAAGCAGAGCCAAAGCTAGCTGCCACTTTTTGCCTTGCCCGCACGCGCTGATCCCTGCGCCGCAGCTAATGACATCGGGCTCCAACTTCACATCCCGCATCTCGCTGAGCAACGACAGAGCCTGCTGCCACTGCCCGCCTTTGCACGCGCTGATCCCAGCGTTGTAGCTGATGACTGTGGGCTTCAGCTTCACTTCCCGCAACTCGCTGAGTAACGACAGAGCCTGCTTCCATCGCTCGCTTTTCGCACACGCGCTGACTCCAGCGTTGTAGCTGATGACGTTGGACTCCGAGCTCGCCTCCCGCATCTTGCGGAACAGCCACAGAGCCTGCTGCCACTGCTCGCCTTTCTCGCACGCGCTGATACCAGCACTGTATGTTACGACGTCAAGCTCCAGCGTCATGTCCCGCATCTCGCTGAGCAGCGACAAAGCCATCTGCCACTGCTCGCCTTGCCCGCACGCGCTGATCCCGGCGTTGTAGCTGATGGCATCTGACTGTAATTTCAACTCGCCGATCTCGCTGAGCAGCGACAGAGCCTGCTGCCACTGCCCACCTCTCGCGCACGCGCTGACTCCAGCGTTGTAGCAGACCAGGGCTGACCTGTGGACTCCGTCCACGACATCTTTCTGGAATGGTTCTCGGAGGAACGGCGGAGATTTTGCCAAAAGCCAATCAGCACGGCGGCGGCCGGGCGGAGGCAGCGAAACCGCGCCTTCGTGTCCGAGCTCTTGCAGCACTCCAGCAGCTTGGCCCCGGCGCACGGCTCGTTCGCCCTTCTCCGATTGGGGGCAGTCCTGAAGTCTCACGGGGATGTGCGTCAGAGTTGAAGCCCATCTGAGGCGTCTCAGGAGCGCCTGGGGAAGGGCTCGGGAGGCCCTCGGGGAAAGCCAGCGGGAGCGCCGGGGAGGCTCGCAAGGATCTCCAGGGATGGCCCAAGAGAGCTTCGAGAGGGTGCGCAATTCAATCAGATCTTCACACAAACCGCTGTTGGGTCGGACGTGCCTCGCCACGTTGATTGGCGAGCTACCGCCGCACGACGCTGGGGCGGCGACGTCTGCCCGCACCTGCCTGGTCGGCGCAACCCATGTCGCGCCGTACGTGATACGTCGCATTCGAAGGAACTGCGCGGGGACCCCCGGCGTTGGCTACGTTCCAGCCCGCGCCCGTGCCCCCGGGGGGGGTGGGGAACCTGCGGGTAATTAGGGCCGCCTTTGGAGCATCTAGCACCGTCTGCTTCGACAGGTCCGGCCCCTCCTCGCCCGGGGGGGTAAAGGCATTTATTTGAAAATAACTACCTCCATCCCTCGGGGGGGGGAGCCCGCAGCTTGGGCCGTCTTGGGAGCATCTTGCCCCGTCTTGGACCATCTTGGGGCCGTCTTGGGCCATCCTAGGGCAGATCGTCTTCGGCCATCTTTGGGCAGTCTTGGACCATCGGGCGCCGCGACCGGGCCGCGCCACCCCCCCGGGGGGTAGAGGTACTTGTTGCCTCCACCCCCGCGGGGGGGGAGATTCGCACCTGGGGCTGTCAAGGCGTGCTGCTGCTGCTGCTGCTGCTGCTGCTGCTGCTGCTGCTGCTGCTGCTGCTGCTCGCTGCTCGCTGCTGCTGCTGCTGCTGCTGCTGCTGCTGCTGCTGCTGCTGCTGCTGCTGCTGCTGCTGCTGCTGCTGCTCGCTGCTGGTGTTTGCTGCTGGATCCTCCTCCTCCTTCTCCTCCTCCTGCCTTCGATCCTTCATCCCCTCGATCGTCGATCGTCAACCGTGGATCCTACGGCAACGCCCCCCCGACGAGAAGCCTCCAGGGCCCCCAGAGCGTTAAGAGCTGCTCCTCGAGGCCTGCGAGGGGCGTCACGCCTCTCATCTGCCTCTCCGCTCTTGGAGGCAGTTTTGGAAGGCTCTCGGGGGCCTCTTGGGGGCCGCTTGGAGGCATATTGGGGGCTACTTTGGGCCGCTTGGGGGCCTCTTGGGGCCGTCTTGGGCGCCTCTTGGGGCCGTCTTAAGCCGTTTAGGGCGGTTTTGGGCGCCTCTAGGGCTGTCTCGAGCCTGTCTTGGGACGCTCCTCGAGCCCTCGTGGGCTGTCCGGGGCGCCTCTTGGACTGTCTTGGGGCCGCCTGGGACCGTCCTGGGGCCCCCTGGAGGCCCTCTTGGGGCGTCTTGGGGCGATCTTGGGGGCCTGTATGGCCGTCGTGGGCGATTTGTTAAAATTGCGCATTTTCCCAAGGTTTGGGGCGATGTTTGCTTCTGGGAGCCCTCTTGGACGTCCCTTGGAGGGCTTGAAGGCCTCCTTTGGGCCTCTTGGGGGCCTCTTGGGGCCGTCTTGGGCGCCTCTTGGGCAGTCTTAAGCCGTTTAGGGCGGTCTTGGGCGCCTGTAGGGCTGCCTCGGGCTCGTCTTCTTCTAGCCCTCGCGGGCTGTCCTGGGCGCCTCTTGGGCTGTCCTGCGGCCGCCTGGGACCGTTCTGGGGCCGTCCTGGAGGCCCTCTTGGGGCGTCTTGGGGCGATCTTGGGGGCCTGTCTGGCCGTCGTGGGCGCCGTGGACACGAGGAAAGCGAATATGTTCAAATTACGTGTTTTCCCAATGTTAGGGGCGATGTTTGCTTTTGGGAGCCCTCTTGGACGTCTCTTGGAGAGGCTTGAAGGCCTCCTTTGGGCATCTTGGGGGCCTCTTGGGGCCGTCTTGGACGTCTCTTGGGTAGTCTTAGGCCGTTTAGGGCGGACTCGGGCGACTGTAGGGCTGTGGGCTGTCCTGGGCGCCTCTTGGCCTGTCCTGGGGCCGCCTGGGACCGTCCTGGGGCCCTCCATGAAAGCCCTCTTGGGGCGTCTTGGGGCGATCTTGGGGACCTGTCTGAACGTTTTGGGCGCCGTGGACACGAGGAAAGCGAAGGACGTCCCGAGATCTTTTCAAGGCGGGGACACAGATGAACGAACGGCTGCGCGTCCTGGCGCTCAGCTGTGAGGCACCGTCAACCACAGAGAGAAAAATGAGACAGAGCATGTGTGTGCACGCATGCTCGAGAGGGTTCGGGGGGGCGGGGGACCAGAGAAGCTATGCGATGCAAGAGAGAGCGGAGCCAAAGGGGCGACATAATGATAACCCCTCTTGACTTCCTTCACGTGCAAGCACAAACCAGGACGTCCCGAGATCTTTTCAAGGCGGGGACACAGATGAACGAACGGCTGCGCGTCCTGGCGCTCAGCTGTGAGGCACCGTCAACCCAAGCCGTTCCCAAGAATGTTTACTGGGTGGGTGGGCAAGGGCGATTATATAAAGACGCGCGCCATTCACTCAAAAGGACTTGAGCAAGCTTCCTATTGAGGGCTGGCGGATAGGCGGCAGCGATAGCGGTCCATTTCGCACCATTCGGGGCGTTGCCCTCAAGCACGATGTGTTGACGGCCAGACTTGTTACAAACTCCGTTGATCTGACAACACCGACGATCGAGACAGCTGCTATCCTGGGCGTCTATGTTTAGACACAAAAATCTTGTTCGTTTGCGCCAGCGAGCACCCTCCTGGCACTGATCGAGACATCTTACTACGGCCCCCCGTTCTATAACCCCCAGAACCTCTCTCGTGACGAAAACGCGTGAATTCACAGGATGCTCAAGTATGCAGGGGACTTTAAAATTTTCGCAACATCTGATGACGGACAGCGCGGCACGCATGGTCTTATTGCCCGATGCCAGGCGAGCAAGCTGTTTTGTACTCAGAAGTTGTCGCGGGAGTCCCCAGGGCTGCGATGCCGAGCGGATGGCCCCCACTCGGTCGGCAGCGGTGGTCCAGGGCCCACAAGGCGGTGCCAGCATCACGGCCAAGACGCGGCCTGCAGCGATGTCGGAGCACAAGCCTCGCAGGACCTTTCGTCGGGTAAGGTCGCCGCCTGGCCCGCGCAGCGCGTCCCAGAACCTGGCGGGTACGCCCATTGCCATTGCGGCGCGACCCACGCCTCCTTTGCCACTGAAGCAGTCGGCCACATATTGGCCAGTCAGGCGTGGTCGAGCTCCCGCAAGTCGACCGGCGAGGCGCGATCCAAAATGATGTCCGCGAGCTGAGCCCCGCAGACCAGGAACACATTTTGCTGCGCGCAACTCCGAGTTGTCCACGTGGCTGCCAGGCGTGCGTGCTTCTCGTAGCGGACGACGCTGCGGTTGGCCTTCCACTGCCTGCGTTTCTGCACGTCGGCCAGCCGCCTCCACCTCCTCGCCATGTATACCGAGGCCCCTGAAAGGCGAATCTGATACGGCACCAACTTGGCTCTTACTGGCAGGTCCTGGAGGCGTAGGCTGAACATCTTGCAGTACTCTGGGCACGTGAAGTTCCACAGGTATTCGGGGTGTTTCTCCATTTTCATTTGACGCAGCACAGGGTCCAAGAAGCGAATCCAGGGCGAGTCTAACTCTAGCGACACGTCCACCAGGCCCGCTTTCTCCCGCAGGCCTTCCTCCTCCGGGGGGAGCCTCAGGGTCCAGAAACTCCAGCCCTGGGGGAGGCGCCGGGCGCCGTAGCTCGACATGTCGGGGTTGAAGTGCAGGACGCCAGCCATCAACTTCTCGGCCCAGGAGAGGTGAGTCCCAGCCTGGTGCAGCCCGGTCAGGTAGCTCACCAACGCCGAGGCTACCATGGAGTCGTCCCTGCTCTTTGTGACTTCGCCAATGTTCACCGGGGGCCAGCTCCGACGGGCAAAGTCCCGCCATCCGTCCCAGGCCCTCTGGTACTCGCGCAGCGACGGGGTCCGCACGGCCCCCCGCTCCAGGTAAGAGAACCCCTCCTCGCCGGTGGTCATCCCGTAGTGGCGGGCAAGGCACTCTTGCGACTGCGCGAGCCTGCGCTGCCGCGCGGCGCCGGTCACGACCTCGGGCTCGGAGCTCCCGCTGTCGGAGGAGCCGACGCTCTCTCGCGCTCCCTGGGCGGGCTCCGCTGGCACAGGCACCTTCCCCAGGTCCTCCGCCATCTGCCCCAGGCTCCGCGGCAGGGAACGGCTCAGCACCGCTGTCTTCAGGAGCTCCGACTCGCACAGCTGATGCTCCCGCCGAGCTGCCGGCGGCGGCTGCGGCGCTACTGGCGGCGCAGGGGCAAGCTGCCGCGTGCATCTCGCCTCCTGGCCGTGGGCTGACGGCCTCAGGCCAGGCCCCAGGCGAGACGGCGCCAGCTGCCGTGTGCGCCGGCGCCCCGTCCCTGGCCTCGCGCCTCGTCTGGCCTGCCGGGGGCCCCGACAGCGGCCCCGCCCGTCTGGCGCCCGCGGGCGCACAGGCAGCATCGCGGGCCGCGGCGCCACCGGCCGCCCGCTCAGGTGCGGACCAGGCGGGAGCCCGCCCTGGGCCCGCCTGGGAGCCCTCGAGCTCCAACAGCTCAGCCAGAAGGGTGGACTTTGCGCCGTCAGGATCAAATAGCCGTGAGGGAAGGTCGGCACAGTTGAGCTCACTGGGTATCCAACGAATCGAACAACGAATATTTCGGCTCAGACAGACAGCGTGAAATCGACGAATCCGGACCAACAAGTTGAAACACGAGCTCCTCCCTCGATTGAAGCTTAGCACGACCGACATATTGTCACAGAGCAGCAACTGACGTATGTGGGACCCAAAGACCGTGGTGGCGATACG